TCCAACTGAGCTTTTATATTATTGTATACGGTCAGCCTATTGCTCGATCAAGCGGTATACCGAAACCATTAACCCTACTTAGCTCTAGCACCTCTGGGATTCAAACATCTCCCACCTTCAATTCCTTATTCTTAAATAGGCGGGCCCCTATTTAACTATATTAAATAAATAACTTTTGAGGAATTAACTCATCTTGACTATTTTTAAAAATTTTATGCTGAAAGTAAAGCTGAAAATTTTTCAATAAGAGTGGTGTCTTATTATAAATTCTTAATTGTAAATCCAATTTGGATGTCGGTGCTGAAACTCATATTTTCAGCCTGCGCTTCATTGTATATTATTTACTTGATTTTAATGTGTATGTGTGCTCATCAGCTTTATTAAAAGCAAAGATAAACACTGAAATAACAACAACAGCGGACTGAATCTTCATTAAATAAAACGCCGAGAACGAATTGGCGCTGCGCATTTTTAGACAATAATTTTTTTAGACATAGCTATTTAAGTGAACAAGAATAGACTTCTAATTTTTTCTTATATGGACAAGTCAGGGTAAAACGCACGCCTCTATAATTGTCTCGCGGGAAATTTTCTAAAGCCCCTCCCTTTTTTAATTTTCTTTCTCCCTAGAAATTTTTAGTCTGGGAAGGAGAGGCAAATAAAACGTCTTGGAGTTAACGAATACAGTAGTTTCAAGTGTTGGTGGCCAGTGTTTGGAAGCTCGTGCCAAAATTCATACTTGTGTTTGTGAAACTTAATCGTGAAATCCGTGAATCCTAATCTTTGTCAAGGGAAAACTTTTTCTTCTCGCTAAGATAGAAAGTAAAGTCTCCCTTATGCTTAAGAGAGACTTAAGGAGACTTTACTCTCCCTTACTCTCTCCCTCTCCCTTATCTCACTTATGCTTTTACTCTTGCCTCTTTTTGACTCGCGCGATGCACAAGTCTTATGTCTCTTACTGCCTTTAGAAAGGGCATTCACGAGAATAAAATGTCAAAGCTCACCGCATGACTTGCCAAACATATGAGCATTGGATAAAGGAACTTTTATATTGATTTAATTAATTTAATAAATAATTAAATTAATTAATTAATTTAATTAATTAATTAATTTAATTAATTAAATTCGTCTAAACTTTATTTTTTTTTCTCCTCATGGCTAACATCTTTCGTTTTTCTCTTTTAGCATACCTATTTGACGGTTTTTAGGGGTGTATTTTTCACAACCCCAAAAAATCAAGACAGACCTAGACCAAAAGATCAAGACTCTTGACCAAAGTCTCGGACAAGTCAACTTTTTATAACTTTATAAAAAGTTTTTAAAAAATGTTTTTCCGCTCTGGGTTTCTTAATAGCATTGTATTGCTCAAACCTAATTATAAAAAAATTTTCAATTGAAATGGACCGTTTTCCATTGAGTTATGTCGAAAAAACATGGTGTGCCATCTTTTTGTTACGCAGTGTATTCAGTTCAAAGGTTCGATTCGAGCATAATACAGTTGCATCGTAAGGGCTCGAACGTTCGAGACTGGAACGGTCCTAACACTCCTCGAATGATCATACTCGGAAAAAAGGCCCTAGAATTGCCTTGAACTTTGCCAATACATGAAATCCGCGGTTCTTAATCTTTGTTATAGTCTGTGTCTTTTAATTTTTAAATCTTTTACTCTTGTCTCTTTTTGACTCGCGCGATGCCCAAGTTTTATGTCTCTTACTGCCTTTAGAAAGGGCATTCACGAGAATAAAATGCCAAAAACCACAGCATGACTTGCCAAAAATCTATAGACATTGAATAGAGATATTGATTTAATTAGTTAATTAAATTAATTTAGTTAAATTAATTAAATTAAAATATAAATTTATTTTAAATTTTTAATTATTTTATTAAATGTTTAAATTAATCTGATCCGCACGTCTGAACTTATGTTAATAGAAAATTTTTCTAACAAATAGATATAATCATCCGGTAACGCAGAAATTGTATTGTAAAATAAAATTTTAACTTTACCATTGACCATCATTACCTTATCTAATTTATTCGACGCTTATAGTAGCAGTAATTAAAAATTAAATTTATATTTTGCTCTAATTGAATGACTCCTCTATTTGAATAACCCTTCAAATTGGATGACAAATTTCTGGAGTATTGAAAAATAGAATGATTGTCATTCAATACGGTATATGTAATATACACAGTATATTATTTAGTTCATATCGATTCACGTGCTTCTGGTCATAACCGAAAACTGTGCTAGCGTTTATTTTAGAGAGTAAAAAGAGGCTTGGCTGTGAAAAATGGTCACCTCATTTCATCGTTCACAATTCGTACAACCCTAGAAAGCGGCCAAAGAATGTTGACGAATAGGGTTGACCCAGGGTGGCCCTTTTACCTATTTATAGAGGATTTTCCCTATTTTTGACATTTTCGCCCTATTTTTCCCTATTTTCTCATTTGCCATATTTTTGCCCTATTTTTACGATCTTGTAAAATTTTAAAAATTATTCGGATTTTGTGAGAAAAATAGTAAAAATGAAGGATTTCTGACTTCCTGGCCTTCCAAAATTCTCAAAATTTTTGCCTGCGGCGCAAAAAAACGGAAGAAATATGGCTTCTAGCCTCCCAAAATCCTCAAAATTTACGCTTGCGGCGCTAAAAAAGGAAGAAATTTGGCTTCTTGGTCTTCCAAAATTATCAAAATTTTTGCCATATTTGAAATTTTAATTATGTTTAAGTTTTTAAAGCTATGCCCTAATTTGTACCCTATTTTTGCCCTATTTTTGAGTGGCTGCGCCCTATTTTAGTGTTTTGGAAGGGGCCACCCTGGGTTGACCCCAGGGCCAGTCATGTGAACACATTTTATTAGTCATCCTTATATGTAGAAATTGCAATTTTTATTTACCTTTCATTCATTTTTCCTCTCCCGATTTTAGCTTTGGTTCTTATCTAAATATTTATTGACTGAGTATAAGTATTTTTAAGCAAAAGCTTCATTCATTCATATTATTATTACTATCATTTTTGTTTGCTTTACTAGGCTAGCCTGTCATTTTTATTTTAAATTATAAAGATAAACAAATACATATATGACAAAGTATATGATACGTAGGCTAAAGATAATTTATATGTCAACCCAAAAATCTCTTCGAGTTGAGTCGAAAGACGCCAAAATTATCGAAATCTGATTTGATTTGTCAAAGTCAAGACCGTTTGTTTTTACCCCTCGCATAAGAAATCGACTGCATTATTCGAATATGCAATTAAAAGCTCATTCAACTCGATTGACTCGAAGTCTAACGACGGTCATTTTGAGCAATTACTTTAATAAAATGATTATTATATCCTATTGATTATATTTTATCATTTTTTTATGTTAAATGAATTTTTTACAATAGATTTTATTAAAAACATTTGTCACTGAACTTATGCCATACCCTGTATAAGTTAAATAGATTAATCAGTATCGTGATTCGAGAGTATTACTTTTCAGTATCGCATTCACAAAGATCGGTATCGGAAACATTAATTTTATTCCGATATCATAGCCTGTTTGAAATAGAAAAATGGTTTGATTCTCGTTATCCTAACCTGTATCGGTATGAAATTGTTTTCCCGATACTCAGTTCAGTCACTCAGATTACTTTATCTGGATTTTACATTCAATCTTCTCTTCGATATTTTACAATAATACAATTGTCTTAGGTGTAATTTTAGTAAAAAAATATATAAATGGCATCAGTTCCATCAGATATTAATCTAATTATCAACAAATTATCAACTATTGATAAAGAAAAAGATAACGATATGAATGAAAATATTGTAAAGGAATCCGGAAATGATAAAGAATGTATCATCGAAGAAAGTGGAGGATATAGCTTGATTGGGAATGATAACACGTATTATGTCCAACTTTACAACAAATTTTGGCCTTATCGAGCACTTAAAATTATAAATTGGGTAAATTTTTTGCTTCTTAGATTTTGAGGTAAAATAAAATAAATAAAATGAAACCTCGGTTCTATCAGATATTAACCTGATAATCAACCAATTATCAAGAAAATACTATCAACCTCAGTTATTTCCAATATTGCCTCATCCTAGCCTACACTAAACGGTACTTTTATGTAGTAGTTCGAGGTCGAACTCTTGCTGATGCCGATTTTTGTTTAGACCGATATCGTTCAAACCGATTAATGTTTCATATCCACAGGGTGTTTCCTACAGTCAGATCCTACTCCATATCAGAAAGAATCCCATCACAAATGTCAAGACAGAAATTAAAATATATGGAGATGGGCCTGTTTCTATTTATAACCCCCACTTAATTGACTAAAATGGGTTTTGGAAATTTATTTCTAATTATTATTTTTTCAAGTTTTTATTCTTATTGTTGGTTGCTGGGCCAGTTTTAACCGAAATACACAATGTTCGATGGTCTGAAAATTATTGGTCATCAAGTTGGAATACCAAGAACGATTCTGTTGATGGTTCATTTTTAGTGGGTCAAATAGTTTTGGCTGTGTTGGGTTTTATTGCTATGTTTGTCCATTTTTTTGCCAAAGATTTGTTTAAAGCTGCATTTTACTCATTAATGGTAAAGATTAGTAAAATTTGTTATTAAATTTTGCGACTCATGTCAAGAAACCAGAGCCAACTCTAAGTACAGTAATGTGCGAACGATTTTAAAATACTGAAACTGGCTGAAGTTACCTTAACAATGATAGGGTCTGAACTTTATAAGTACTAAATGGAGTTAGCCCGTTCACACTTTTCGGTCTGGCGCACGTTCAGAGCGCCGGTTGAAGGGTTTGAGGATAGGGTGTGGGATGCGCAGAGGACCTATGATTGACTAAGTAAACTAAAAACATTTATTTAATATTTAAAACATACAATAAATTAAATGAGTTATTGGTTTAACGACTATATGGAGTAATATACATATGAGGTTTGAGAAACCATTGGAAAAGGGGAAAATTTGTTTTAAAGCCCTTAATTTCTAGGATATGTGCTTCTTTATATTCTCCGTTCCAATACTTGTCATCGCCACCATTGTGTTTTCATCCAGATCCATATCATTATATCGCTGGTTGCGCCCTAAGCTTGCAACTTTCAATTACACTTTTGAAGCTTATGTTGATATTACTGAAAGTGTGCCATACCCCCGCTACCCGTGGAACTATAATTCAATGGATGAATATTTTGCTTTGGAAAGGGATGATACTCAGAAGAAGGAGTATGATTTGGATATGCTTGAAAGGCGTAAGAAGGACATTTTTATAAATGTTTTGATCAATCCGACTTTTACGGTTGGTTATCTACCTTAATCTTGGATGCTAATAGGTCTGGATGATTCGGATTTATGAGTAAAAAATCCAAACAAATCTTTTGTATCCATCTTTTGACTACTAGATCCATCTCTTTACTAATATTGGGTGGGGGATGTCAAATAGAGGAAGGTAGACTATGAGAAAAACGAAGGCATTCGAATGAGAATAAGAATTTAATAGAAGCACAACTTCCTAAAAGGCTTCTCCTCACTCAATTCTCTCAAATAAAGAACAAAAATTTTTCAAATCCTAAACGAAACGATCAAATCTATCAGTCTCATACTCGATCTAATTTAATAGGTATTAACGGCAGTCACTCTCATTCTCAATATTTATTTGATTTTTTGTCTTTACAAAAAAATGCGTAATGCAAAATTATGGAATGATGGCGTAAAGGACTACTTGGCATTATTTCCAAATTGTTCTTCAATTGAAATGAAATATGCTCATCTTGGAAAAATAAAAATGCTTCAATGGGTAAAAAGATTAATAAATACTCATGGGGTTTACATCCTTTTATATTTTTGGAATTAATTGGAGCTGGTCCTTAACGGTTCTATTATTTTCTCTGTTTTATCTCTTAGAACACTACTTAGGAGTAAAAATAAAACTCATAAAACGGCATCTAAATTTCGAGAACATTTTTTGTATGTTCGTAAGGGCATACTACTAATTAACTTTAATTTTATTTATCAAATAGATCTTGCCATTAACTCCCCTGTTGGCATATATCTACTTGCCAGGATTTAGAGATTTTGGCCGTACTTCTGTTAGATATTTTTGGGCTCCGACAATTATTTACTTGATTAATTGGCTTTTGTATTATACAACTTTACATCTTCGATATCCAAAAGGACAAGCTGACAAAGCAATCAAACTGTCATACTTTTTCTTTACCGTATAATTTTTTAAATTTAAATTTGGGGGTATTTTTCGTTATATTTCTAATGTCTAATGAAAAAACTATCTAATGCTATAATAAGTCAATTTTTCCGATAAACATAAAATAGATAGTAACATTAACTAAAACTGAGGCTTTTTTAAAAGCAATTAAATTTCCAATTTCCCTAAATAAAGTGGGTGATTACCGATCCATTGGGAAGGCTATTTCGGGAACGATGGATGATGTAAAACTTATTATAAAAAGTTAAAATAAACGCAAGACCCTCTTATGTATCAGTGAGGGTCTTCGGAATAACCTTTTTCAGTAAATTGACATTAATATTCTATTGCTATTGTAGTTTGAAAATGTTAACAAGATCCAAAAGTTACCTTCAAGGATATAAATTTAAAAGTCGGACTAATTAACATAAATTTTTTAAAGGATCTTGTCCTGTCGTCCTTCTTCACCCTTTTATTTATAATCAAGATAAATGAGGGAACTGGCCTACAGGTTATAAAAAATTTAAAATTTTTTACTTCTCTCATTTAGCAAATATACTTTATAATGCTTACATTAATAATTTTCTATGGTTGTTACTCTTTAACGTTGTGTTTTTTATATTTACGGACCAATAAAGGATCATTTAATATCAAATTACCAATTTCAATCAAAATTAATTTTGAAATTAAATTGAAAAAAGAAGAGGAACTGAACAAAGTTAACATAGAGGAAACGGAAGAAGATGTTAAAAAGAAAGAAAATGGAGGGAATAATGAGGAATAAATTATATTCTAAAAAATTTAAAAATAAATAATTGTATCCGTTTTAGCGATAAAATTTGTTAACGTTTATCCGCAAATTGAATAACTATTGGTTTTTTGGCCAAGGGTTGTCCGAGATATACCAAAGTCTACAAAAAATAACAGTTACGTTGATTTCTGGGTTTGTAGATCTCGATGTAGGGGTTATGTTAGCAACTTGTTAGAACTTATTTTCAATTGACATCAATAGATATGCTTACAGGAATTTTTGTAGATTTTTAGAACGGTCCCTAATGCCGAAAATTAAGGGGTGCTTATAATTATCTGACAGTCGTTTTCTAAAAAATATCAGTTACATCCCCTAATATCCATAAATACTTTATATCTGATTGTTTTTTTTTTCGTTCGAATATGAATTAGAAATTAATAAAAATATTTAAAACTATGTATGACACTTTAAATTTAATTATGTTTTTTACTTAAAAACTAGGGGTGCTTATAAAGTAAAAAGTCCTAGCGTGAAGAACAATATAACTTTCAGCGACAAATTCTAACATGGTCATCACAATATTGACGAATATGATCGTACTTAGGCCAAGATATACACATTATTCGCTGGATAGTTAACATAAAATTGCAACTATATAATCTTCCATCTTTTAATATTTAATAGCTTATTTATTAGTATGTTTCTTATCTACCTATTTATTGACAACATTTTTTGTTAAGCAGCTGTTTCAATGAATAATAATAATAATGCTTGTTTATTTTAGCTATCCTGTCAATTTTAAGTAAGAAATAAATAAATATCATTGATACATATATATTTTTTTCGAATTTTTTCTTCATAATTTAATTATTATAAGTAGAGTTGATCAAGACGAGACCGAGACCGAGATTCTTGGCTTTTTTCCAATATCGGTCTCGGTTTTTTCATTCTCGGTCTCGAACTCGATCCCAAATCTCCATCTCAATCCCCCAAATCACATTATCCATTTTATCCAATATCAACTCTAATTATAAGGTCAACTCTAATTATAAGGCCGTCAAGAGTTCCTTCTAGCCGAGCAACTAAAGCAAAAATTTTCTTAATAAAATATTTATTCTACTATTAAATTTAGAAGAAAAACAATGACATCAATTCCATCGGATATTAATTTAATAATAAACAAATTATCAACAATTGATAAAGAAAAAGATAACGAGATAAATGAAAATATTGTAAAAGAATCCGGAAATGATAAAGAAAATATCATTGAAGAAAGTGGAGGATATAGCTTGATTGGGAATGATAATAACAATTATTATGTCCAACTTTACAACAAATTTTGGCCATATCGAACGCTTAAAATTATAAATTGGGTAAAAATTCTGCTTTTATTGTATGGTCGAGTTATTATTAGGTTGAGTTTTATTGTTAGGTTGAGTTAAAAGTCCACATAGGGGTATCTTAAATTGATATCCAACTGTATTTTTGCTATAATCTGGAAAAATCAAAAAATATTTGAGGCAAGCAGGTTTCGATTATATTCACCATAAGTGACTTTTAAATTTATAAATTTTTAAATACAGTATTTTAAATATAATTTTCAAGATTTTATTCTTACTGTTATTTGTTGGGTCAGTTTTAACTGCAGCAAAACCTTTTCGATGGGCTAAAAGTTATTGGCCATCAATTCCGCCATATAATGATTTTGATATTTGTGGTTTAATTGCTATGGGTCAACTAGTTTTGGCTATAATGGGTTTAATTGCTTTAATTGTCCATTGTTTTGCCAAAGATTTATTTAAAGCTGCAGTGGCTTCATTGATGGTATAAATAAAAATTACAGTATACAATAGCTCCAGCTATAAGATAACCCTATAATGGATAAACCTCAATACTTTTTAAAATATTGTTTTCCACTGGGTAGCAGTGATATCGAAGTTCCAGTTCCGGAAAGCTCCAGTTTTAGAACTAGAACTACGGAACTAACGATTATCTGAAACTAGTTTGGAACTAGAACTATGGAACTAGTAAATGCCCGGAACTAGCTTGGAACTACGGAACTAATAAATGCCTGGAATTAGCTTTAGAACTAGTTTCGGAACTCATTAATAATTTTTGACCTGATAAGTCAAGTTATTTGGTGATTTTACATTATCGAGTCAAACAATTTAATAAAGAACTTTTAATAAAAGATACCGTTTATTAAAGGCTTTCGAATGATATAAGATCACTTGAATTGGATTAATCCCAGAGAAGTTATAGCCAATCAAAATTCTTTTATGGTTTATAATTTTTAGGATATGTGCTTCTTCATATTCTCCATTGTAATACTCGTTATCTCCACCATCGTGTTCTCATTGAACACAATTTCACTGTATCGCTGGTTACGCCCCAAACTTGCAAATTTCAATTACACTCTTGAAGCCTACGCTGATATTACTGAAATTGATATGAGAAAACATAAAGAATGGGGTCTAGAAGGTTATACTTTGGATTTGATTGAAAGTCATAAGAACGAGATAATTATAAATGTTTTGATTAATCCGATTATGACGGTTGGTTGACTTTTACGGGTAGTTTCTAAAGGGTAAAATCTGCAGCTCTGCAGGTTTTTTCCTGCTCAAAAAAAGGAAACAGGACTCCTTAGTCCTTAATTAATTATTTCCCTCAAGCCATCAACTGACTGAAAGCGTTTTGTGACTGATAGTCCTTAGCTGAACCTTAATAGTCCTTAGCTGAACCTTAATAGTCCTTAGCTGAACCTTAATAGTCCTTAGCTGAACCTTAATAGTCCTTAGCTGAACCTTAATAGTCCTTAGCTGAACCTTAATAGTCCTTAGCTGAACCTTAATAGTCCTTAGCTGAACCTTAATAGTCCTTAGCTGAACCTTAATAGTCCTTAGCTGAACCTTAATAGTCCTTAGCTGAACCTTAATAGTCCTTAGCTGAACCTTAATAGTCCTTAGCTGAACCTTAATAGTCCTTAGCTGAACCTTAATAGTCCTTAGCTGAACCTTAATAGTCCTTAGCTGAACCTTAATAGTCCTTAGCTGAACCTTAATAGTCCTTAGCTGAACCTTAATAGTCCTTAGCTGAACCTTAATAGTCCTTAGCTGAACCTTAATAGTCCTTAGCTGAACCTTAATAGTCCTTAGCTGAACCTTAATAGTCCTTAGCTGAACCTTAATAGTCCTTAGCTGAACCTTAATAGTCCTTAGCTGAACCTTAATATCTATGTAGTTATATATCTAGCCGAATATCTAGTTAATATTTTAACATCGAACTCAATTTGGCTCTTGTCCAGTTCATGCGTCCCATGAAGATATATGCGTCCCAAGAGAATTTATGAGTCCCATAAATATTT